ACTTCTCCGCGGGCAGACCAATCTTTTTTGGCCCGAAAGCCGCATGTTGCACACCCCTGCATTATGGTGTAAAAGTAATAAGGATTTTCACCGCAAGCTCGCTTTAAAGTTTCGAGTAAGAGTTGTATAATAAAAAATCACCATATTGCTCAAGATTTGAACGGCAACATCAATTTTTTACATTTGAAAAACATTTTTGTTCAATGGAGGTCCAAGGGCTAAAAATGTATCAATTTAAAGTATCTTCTTAGGTCGCTGATGTACGAATTTAATGTAGTTGCCAAGAAAAAAATATTAAACGCGCGTGTTAAGTGGGGTTACCTTGTTTTTGTGACTTCGAAGCGGGACGCCTCCAAAGACCATGAACCTTTCATCCCAGAAAAAATCTTTTTATAGTTTACCATTGCAAAATTTTCGGGGCTGTTTTAAGAGCGCTTTTGCAAGTTGGCGCCTGTAAAATGGGGTATGTGTTTCAAACCATCGCATTATGATTATCGCATACAACTATCTGTTTTTTTTTTAAGTAAAAAGGTTCATTAACCCTTCCAGAGACATTTGAGCTCTATTTCTTCTTGCTTTGCACAAAATTTGATCATAATGATAATTGCGATAGAACTATCAACTTACCGTTTAAAATTAGGCAATGTGAATTGCAGTAAAATAAATTGTAAATGATTAAGTAGAAACACACTTTTATACAAGTTAGGTAAAAGTGTTTGAATCAGGTGAATTTATTAAAAATCAGACCCTATTTCTGACATGGACTTCACACAGCTGTGCAGTCATATCAAATGCGTAATCTATACAATGGACCTTTCCCCGACCTTCAACCCCTGAAAAATTCTTCCCATACTTTACCATTGCAATATTTTCGGGGCTATTTTTAGAGTGCTTTTGCGAGTTGATGCCTGTAAAATAAGGTATGTGTTTCAAACCATCATTATAATTCATCGTATACAACAATCTGTTTTTTGAAAGTACCGGTAAAGAATTTTAGCCTAGTCTATCACAGCTATTTCTACACTAATTTTTTATTACTGCAATGAAATTAAAACTCATAGGAAGACAAAGTGATCATTGAATTATCTGATTTATATTTAAGTTACTGAAACACATCCGAAAACTAACGAATAGAGTTCAAAAAGGTGAAAACGAGGTAATGTTCACGACCACGCTTGAAAATCTGTCTGAGTGAGAAAAGTGTCTGAGCGGATGCGAAAAGGGAGCATTGTTACGTCACTCTTTGCATCTTCTGATTGGCCAATGTCACGAAGTAAACAAGGAGGTCGATGCTCGGGAAAGATCCATTGCTTTGCTGGAATTCACCAAAGTGAGTTTATTTTAGGCATTTGTTTGTTTAGTTGCAATTGTCGCGGACTAGAGTATCCGTGTTTATATTGTGTGTATATATATGTTTTTATGTTTATAAACTGTTATGTTGACCCTTGTTTAATGCTGTTTTGTCGGATTTGGACTCCGACCACTTACTACGCGTGAGAGAAAAACTGTCTTTCGATCTTCTTTCTCCGGCCGTCGATAGTCGGTCATGTCTATAGTGATGTAATCTGTTGTGCTGTTTTAAGTTTGATATTGGAGTTGCCGTACATTAAACAACCAATCCGGAATTCTTGAGTCTTCTGATTCATCTACAACCACAGTATGAACATCTTCAGACTGTGACACAATATTAAAGAATGGACCTTTCCCCGACCTTTAACCCCCAGAAAATTCTCCCTATACTTTACCATTGACCATGAACTCTTTTTATACTTTACCATTGCAAAATTTTCGGGGCTATTTTAGGAGTGCTTTTACATGTTGGCGTCTGTAAAATGGGGTATATGTTTCAAACCATCATTGTGATTTATTGCATACAACAATCTGTTTTTTAAAGGTACCGGTAAAGAATTTCAGGCTAGTCTATCACAGCTATTTCTACACTAATTTTTCTTACTGCAATTAAATTAAAACTCCTAGGAAGACAGAGTGATCATTGAATTATCTGATTTATATTTAAGTTTCCAAAACACAACTGAAAACTAACGAATAGAGTTCAAAAACGCGAAAACGAAGTAATGTTTACAACCACGCTTGAAAATCTGTCTGAGTGAAAAAAGTGTCTGAGCGGATGCGAAAAGGGGGCATTGTTACGTCACTTTTTGCATTTTGCTGATTGGCCAATGTCACGAAGTAAACAAGGAAGTCGATGCTCGGGGAAAGGTCCATTAGACTCACAAACGCTGCGTTAGACACCACTGTGAAGCTAGTAGCAATTTAACCTTTGTGTGCGGCGAAGCGGAAAGGTGAATATTTACAGCAGAAATGGAGGCGGGTCAGAATCTACACCCGAAAAAATGCAGATTAAACGAAATCAGCATACGATGAAAGGAAATATATTCAGCATTTAGGAAAAAACAACATCTACAAAGCAAAAAATAACAATAAACTGCTGATGGATAATGAAAAAACAAATTTTATTTAACTTCCTCCGAAATAAGAGGATGAGCAATTCTATTGTACAGTACTTTCGGAAATTACGATATTCCCACAGCCAATATTGCCCATAATCGTGTTATAAAAGGGTTACAATTACCATTTTCAACTCCTAATAGCAACACATTCTACCCAAGAGGCACGACATTTAAATAATAAACATGAAAAAGGATTACCTCAAGTTTTTTTTATACAATTCGAATCTATTCCTGCATGAATGAAATCATTCACAAAAGCTCGTCAAAAACCTATGAGTCAATAAACAAGGAATTTGGGGGAATTTGATGCATGTGCGCGTTACCACGTACAACCGAAGCACTCAAGAAAATGTGTGTGATGTACTAGTGATCAAAATGTTTGACTCAACTATTTTGGCATATCATGTGCACATCTCGGTTTCGCATACGGATACCCTCTATCGCCACAAGGATATATTAATTTGGCCAAAGTCAATGCTGAACCTGAAAGGTTTTACATGGCCTTCCTTGTTCGGAGCGAAAGACGAGGATAAAATATTTCAATCCATTTCAACTAATAAAATATTTCCCGACTCCCAAAACTTTAGGCAGGAAAACAAAATGGCCGCGGCAACACAAATGAAGCTTGAAGAGTGCAAAAGAAAGTGACTATAGATGCTGTCGATGGATCTTGGATTATATTAGTGAAATAAACTACCATTTATTATACTAAAATTGTATTTCTGACATTGTAAGGAGATTCAATGTTACTATTTATTCAAAACTAACCCATGTAGTTATGAAATAACTGTTTATATTAACAAAAAGGTGCTCCCGAAGTATTCGTACCAAGATGGCGAACAACCTTAACATTGTATGCGTATCAGGTTAGGGTTCAGGATGTGCGTCATCTTGATACGAATATTTCCGGAGCGCCTTAAAATCCACTTAAAAAAATTGCTCAACATTATATACTCCACACCCACCTGGGTATCATTATTTAAGTCATCGACAATATATCTAAACAATAAAAAAAACTTTATGTCTCAAAACGAGCTTCGGCCACGATTCTGTCAGACTATTTGCAATTCACGCATTTATGCTGACGGCACAACTCAATAAATGAAATATCAATGAAAGTTGAATATCTTTACTGGATTCGTCGATACCCTCCCCTGTTAGAACATACTCAGCAATAATTCGCTCGAGCGAATCACTGGTACGTGGAGTATAACCGTCATATTTTCAGCCTGGCCTTCCTAAACCTGCTAGACCGAAGTCAAAATGAAGATCAAACAAGACTGACGTCGGAACTGCAAAATCTTTCTCATCCGCGAAGTGTAGCTCCGTTTACGTCGGTGGAACTTCAAAACACAATTTTTTTTTTTCAAGAACTTAAGTTATGTGGAATTCACTACCTTATAGCTGTTTTTCCGAACGGATTAACACGAAATGCTCTAGGTGTCGCGCCAACGGTATTTACTAACGCGCAATTCTACACTATAATTTCTTATAGTCTCAGCATCCCCGGTATTTTAGTAGTCACCCGTAATTTCGCTCAGCCTCAGAGGTCAATCTTCTTTATTTCTGTGTGAGTGTGCGTACCTTGCTTTCGCCAAATTTTTCCAAAAACATTGCGTAGGATATGTCAAATAAGGCTGGTCATTTCGAACGGAATAGTAATTATTCGATTCGCAATATTTTGCATCTCCGTCTCCTTGTTTTTTCTTGTCCGCCAAAGGTCGAGGTCGATCCATCAATCGAAAACAGTATTCAATTTCTTTTTAAAATCATCAGGTATTTGAAAATGACCCGTCTTAATGCTAAACTGTAAATATTCCGGCATAACAAAAATAGTTTTTCATCAACCTTGGGTGAATGGTCTCGATGATGGTTTGTTTACCTTAGCAGAGACCCACGTTTCCCAACCGGGCTGCCTTGAAGCAATTTTGTCATTTTTGTGGATACTTTTGCTTTGTATTTACTGTATTATTACTAATATTTTTCAGATCTTTATTACTACAATACTGATTTGAGCACACCTTATATATCACTAAAACTGTACAAACGCGGGAGTGCGAATTAAGCCATTGCGGATCAAACAAATAATGGTAGTTTTTATGCATAATAAGGTAGGCATAGGTGTTTCGAAATAGGCGAAGGAAACATTAAACCAGTGGTAGGCAAACTTTATGTACTCGCGAGCCGCATATATACATTTCCGGTAGCGTGCGGGCCGCAATAATTTCTACATCAAACTTAAAATTATGGCGCACCCGCACTACAATGAGACGTTTTTGTTGCCCTTTTCAAAGAATACATTTTTTTAATTTACTTGATGTTTTTCTGTGCTACGGCCAAAGCGTTGAAATCAAATGACAACCTTGTTGCCCCGCAGTACGTCGTCCAAATGACAATTTGTCAAGCGAGTACGAAATTTATTGTGAGTGTAATACATTTCATATAAAGCTGTTCACCGCAATATAAACAATATGTGACGTGTACAGAGCAGTGGCGCAACCTGGAGTCTCGGGGTCGAATTTCCTATTTGCAGTGACACGTTCTGTAATGACGTTTAACATTGGATCCCTTAATATATACGATGCTGACTAGGCATATCCAGCAAACCGGTTTTGAAATGCGCAAAAAATAAAAATATTTTCCGTCCAAGCATTTCGGAATGTTCGACCTTCAACGCGAACTTTCCTCCGTACACGGAGGGCAAAAATTTCCATTTTTATATTTCAAAAATCAAAATAAACTTATTTTAAAATTACAACCAACATCAAGTAAACGACATACAACTCAGAACTGACGCTGCAGAAAAGCGCCATACAGCTTCATTCGTTACCGCCATGCCGAGGCAACGATAAATTCATAATCAATTCTTGTATCCTGCATTTAAAGTCGGGACGTTCGAAGAACGCAAAAAATTAGTTCGTGGGCCGCAGTTTGCCGACCCCTGAACTAAACGAAAAGGGTTTGGAATCACTGCCTTACACTATTAAAGGCGTATTTTGCTAAGATTGGAGCAATGTTGAACATTCACATTCTATGCACATATATATACATAATTGTACATCGTGGAATAGTACCTTACGCCTATGGCACTTTAGTTATAGAAGTGGCATTATTTTGTATAGATCGTTCCACGACTGTTTATATGTAAACATAAACATATATTATGTAAACGTAACAGCTTGATGATGATAGTTATAAGCTGAGAAATTAAGAAAGTGAATATCAATTCAATCAATATCACCACGCTACAAAAAAAAATATCTAATAGGCCTACAGTATATATATATATGAAAGTTTGCACGTTTTCTCTCATTTTTACGCCCACTTATCAGAAACTTTATCGAATTGAAAAACTGTCTACAACTTCGTCGGCATATAGTGAAGGATATGAAACCGAGATAAACTTTGTATTTTTGCTTCTTCCCACACTGGTTAAAGTGGCGAGGATAAAGTTCAAGTAAATAAATGAGAACACTCCTTTCAGCTAGAGGATAATTTAAGATGTTCCAACATCATTTACAAACTTACTATGTATTAGTAATTGATACACTTCCCTTAGTTTTCCAACAGGATGGAATATAATATTTTTTAAAATTTTCAGTCAAAAGGGCGTGAAGGAACGGATTTAATACAGTGTGAAAAACTATAGAAGGCTCCATGAATGCCATGAATCTTAACAATCGTTTGGCTGATTCCGGAATGGGTATTTCACTTAATTGATCAGTAGCGAGAAAAATGAAAAGTGTCAAAGTAATGGCCAGGTTAAAGAATGCGTACATGAGAAATAATACATATGTAAATGAAATGTGCTTAATAGAATTGCACATTTTTTTCCGAAAAGAATCACTTCTATCGTGCTGCTTGTGCTTCATTATAAGTTTATACAACATTATGGGATATAATATAACAATTGCGAGAACAGGGGGCACATTTGAGAGTAAATCCAAAATGATTATATAATAAATACAAATATCTTCCACTACTGAATGTTCATGATTTATAACAAAGGTTTTCAGTCGTGGGAAAAATATGACTGGAATTGACACACTTGTCGAAAGTAGCCAAATACACACCACAATTGTAGTGACTTTTTTTCTAGTTGCAAATATACGAAATTTAACAGGATATACAACGCTCAAAAAATTAAAAATTGCGATGGCTGTCACCGTCCAATTGCTCAAAACAACTTCACAGGATGCCAATAATGAATCTGAGGACACAAGTATGGCAATGGTATCATCATCCTGTTCCATGGCTACGTGAGCACACCGAATAGCAATAAATATACAAACACATGCTATGTCAGTAATAGCTAAACTGAGCAGTAAACTGTTAGAAGGAATCTGAAGATGTGTTTTCCGGTATTTGATAATGACATAAACTACGACGAAGTTGGCAAATAATCCAGTGATGGATAATATCCAAAACAACATTCTCGATGCAAGCGCAAGTGAAGGCTCTTCATGAACTAAATCCAGTGATGAGTTGATAAATAATGAGGTCCTGTAAGACAACTCTGACTTGTCTATTCTCGCCATTCCTTGGAATTGAAATCACCTTGAGCTTGCATATACTTTATATATTTCTTCATAACAACGTAAACAAATCTATATTGAGGCAAAATATTCTAAGCTTATGAAAAATATATATGATTATATGAATTATATATATATATATACTTTGAATTCTAACCGAAAAAATTTGAACTCAAAAACAATTTATCATAAATAATTTATTGCCGATACCTCATCAATAATCCCTATCATTGTATTACATCAAATTATGTGCTTGAATGTGATGAGGTCCGCGGACCCCAGTTAGGGAAACCCTGCCTTACTGCAAGTTCTGCATCGATTAGCCTATGCGAAGTCTTCTGCATCTTATTTTCCGACCACATAAAACGTTCCTCAAGCGAGTGCCTTTTCTGTCATACGAGTCAATTTTAACTTGACATACAAATCAATTTCATCATTTTATGCAGCGCTAATGTTGAAAACCACCATCAAAATTATTTGAACAGCACCAATGACCAGTAACGGTGACTTGAACCGTCAAGTGCATTTTTAAGTATTATTTGGCGTCTGAAGCTGCCACAAAACTATGGCGTGATTTCCAAACCATGGCGACTAACGCAACCACGATCTCGCGGTTTTCAATTCCAAACTTGGCATCGATGCGCACTATAAAGCTCTTATCTTGTTCGTGACAATCCTTTCCTGTGTCGTTACCTTTCAGAGCTTTTGTTAACAGTAGCATAAAAATTGGCCATCTGTAACATCAAGTTCCTTTCAGTTTAATTGACCAACGCAAAAACACCCCCAAGCCCAAATTTGACACTAATTTCTTTTCAAAATAACTCTGAGTGAAGCCTGATGTATGTCACTGAAAGCATTGAATAAATCAATTCAATACTTGTACAAGCGTGAGATTGGAATGATTACTACAAGAAAAATGCATGCTAATACGCTATTTGAACCTGATGCCTAAACTAAACCAAGAAAAATGTGATTTTCCGGTGTACAAACAGAACTTAGCCAAAACAGTATAACTCGCCGAAAGAAACACTTTTATAATGTATTAATTGATCGGTATATATCTCGTGAAAATTAGCTCTAAACAAATTATATTTCCATAATAATATATCTCTGTTGACAAACATCTCTTATAAATACAAAAGTGGTCGTACGAATACGTCGTCAGCCATTGAATTTCTCAAATACATATCGTAGTACGACCGAGAGCGTGAACGTATTAACATTGGCGCCTTTGGCGGTAAGAGATTTTCATCGAGGTGTACAACAAATCAGTTTCTGACTCTAAATATCTTTCTGTCAACATCGTTTAAGGCTGAATCATGTTTTAACTTTTGTGAATTTGTTTTATTGTTACTGACCATCTGATTTTGTGCGCTGTTCGCTGCGCAAGTGCTAATAGCATTCACTGAAGCCCGGCTATAGTAAGTTACAATTGTGAACAAGAGTGAAACTTCCAACAGAAACTAAGCTAGTACTTATTTTTATTTTCTGTGTTCTGCTTTTATCAGAACGTCATTAAAAACGTATGTTTTGTTGGTTTCCATTTTCCAACATTTGAAAAAATGAAAGAAAAAACTGATTCATTATTTATATTTTGTGGCAAATAGAATGAACACATGTTTCTTGGGAAATCTGTTGTTACTAGCGATCAACGCATGCGAATATGAAACTACAAAACAATTTTCGATTTGCGCAAATACCCACCACAATTACACATCTTTCCGGATAATCTCGTTTATGCTGACGACACAACTTGATAAGAAGTCCGACAAACATCGCAGTTTAAAACTCGTCATGGAACTTTATAATTACTGATAAATAGAACATAAATAATCAAACCATCACCTCATAATGATCATTTTATTAAATAAACAGGTCCACGATGAAAAAGTCCGAAAATGGCAAAAAATATCTCCTCAGATTTGTTGTTGCCTGAACCAATTAGTATCGGGGACGGGAAGCTAGCGTCATAGAGCCGTAACTTGTTGGAGATGGAACCAAGCTTTAGCCACCTGAAACTTTAGTTGCTTCAAGTCCTAACCATTAAAATATTTTTTAAAGTAGGTCTATATAATTTTTTGATACTTCATACAAATAATAAAATCTATTTTTTTCAGTTTATATATTTTTTTGGTACTCCTGAAATATGCGCACCAAGATGTCGCATAACCTGAACCCTAATCTGGTACACATTCTGAGTTCAGGTTGTGCGCCATCTTGGTGCGCATACTTCACGAGGTCCTTTTTTTCAATTTGATTTTCAATATCAAGTTTATTGTTAAAACTTGTATATTAAAATTGAATTTCGAAATTTGAGACTTATATCATTGTTTTGAGACAGCTCCATCGAAACTGAAATTGGATTAATCCTCCATGGTAGCGACCATGCCAAAAATTAGAACACTGATGTAATATCCAATTTCATCATGCTGTATTATTTGTCAAGTAAGGTTGTTAAATGTAATTTCGCGTTATTCGTTTACATTTTGTAGCTTGTACAATAGTTGAATAAAAAGTATTTCAAATACGAATCCACAATTATGTCAAAATTAACATAATACCTCAATATACCGAAGTAATGTGTAGGACGCACAATTTCTATCTTCTGTCTATTTCCATAAATATCACCATGACTATCGCTAAGAAATTTTTGCCGCTTTTTCATTGTACAAATGCTAGCTTCTATCATTTCGTGTAATGTATACACACCCGAGGACATTCTATATATATATATAGAATACTTATTAAGCACACCAATATTCTTCTAATTTATCTTTCTGTTTGTAGCGATAAACTATATTTTTGCAATATTTGTTACTCTAACAGCGTTCATACGTTGCATAAAACATAAGGATGATACTTCCATAATCAATCGAAGGCTGCCAATACCGCATTCATGTCTGAACCATTAGTCGGATGTCACGAAGGCGACAAAGGTGTCTAATAGATGTCTCAATCTCAATCGAAATGCATTTTTGACGATTTGTAGTCTTCATCGTTCTCTGATACATAGCCAGGGATGCGAACCACTGGCCCGCGGGTCACAAAGTGACCCACCGCGTTTTATTCGTGACCCGCCAAGGCACGAATAAAATAAAATAAAAAGGCTAACATATCAGTGATAAAAATTGATAAAACCGGCCTCAAAGTAATCTAACAATAACTAAACTATTATAATGTACCGTCAGTTGGGCAGTCAGGGCTGCGATCAGTGCGGCGTCGGTAGATGATATGCCCTAGATCAGCAGTTCCCAATGGGGTCGATTTGCTAAGTAGCCCAAAATTTAACAGAATTGTTCTAAACATAACGAATTTATGATTGAATATTTCACATATTGCTATTGTTTTATTTTTTACTATTTTAAATGCTGATGATTCATATCAATCTTGTTGGTTAATTATTGAATGAATAAGTTTCCCTTTGTGCTTATTGCTTTCATTTATTTCAATTTTTATTAACTCGTTTTTAATCTTGGTGTCGCAGACTTATGATGACCATCTCTGGTCCTTTGCGACCTCCAGTCAATTGCTATGAAATCCGTTACTGTAACGCATAATTACTTTTTCCTATTTTGAATTTGTGTTGTGATTTCTTGCACGACGAAATAAACTTATTGTCTAGTGTATTGTCTACCTATATTTGTTACGTAACCGTAAGACCCATCTCTGCCTGATTTTTCTTTGAAATACTAAAAAATCACCCAAAAACTAAGCTGAAGCTTCTAAGAAGATATAATAACAATCAAATTATTTGATTCCCGACCAATTTTTAGAAACACATCTGAAAACTTGCAAATAACACGCAAAACCGCGAGAAAGGTCCAATGTTTGCAATAGCATAAATTGTCATTGTTACGTTATCTTAGACCAGCGTTTCCCAACCTTTTTTGGTTGCGGACTATTTTCTCACCGGCGAAAACCTTTGCGGACTCAAGGTGCGTTTATTGCTGGGGTCGACAAGCTTTTGTCGCTCGCGAGCCAAAATTAAGGGTTGCAAGTCATTGGCGGGCCGCACATATTTTTAGAAATATGAAAACAGAACGGATGATACTTTTCACAATGAAAATCGAGCAGTGATACAGCTCTCGAATAGAATATAGATTTATTTTCTCATTGAATTGCATCTCAAAAAATCCCATTTGAATATTTTCGGCGCCATTGAAATCTTTGCACCCAGCATCAACTTTTCTGCGTTTTTGACACGTGTCTCACAATGAATTCTGTTACGTAAAGAATATAATCGTCAAAGCAGCTGTTTTGTTTTTATTATTCAGTGAAGTGTCGCGGGCCGTAGTTTGCCGACCCCTGGTTTATTGCAACCGTACTCTGCGTGAAGAAGCAATAAACCAAACACAACAGAACGAATTTTTTTCCAAATGGGAAATTCGCTGCAATTACGCGTTCATTAAAAGAGCCGACTTTTTTTAGTGTATAATGGCCTTTTCTATCGCACAATATTCAATCCATGACAACGACGAGAATTTAAGGTGTCTTTCTATTTTAATTGTTCATGGTAACTCGCGGTCGCGTCGACTTACAACAAGATGAAAGCATTACTTACTCAAAATGCCACAGCAATCTGCGAACATACTGATGTGAGAATATATTGCCCGATTACATTTAGTTTTGATAGATATTTTTTGCGATCTTGCGAATTTGTTTCCGCCATTAGAAAAATCCTACTATCTGCTATAAATTTCCAGAAAGTACAACTTGATTTAGTACTTATTAAATATATATTTAAAGTATATTAGTAAATCAAAAATACATATTCATCGACTTGCTTTATTATTAATTAAATTGTGATCATTTTAATCTGCGGTTGTATTGACGAAATAAAAGCAATACTACCTAGAAAATATCATGACAATCCGTGGACACAAAAATACGTGGTAAAGTGCCCGATTATATTTTGTTTTGATTCGTATTTTCGTGAATTCGACAAATCTGAGCTGTTCGTACATTTACGGCACTCCAGTACTGTACGTACCAATGTGGAGGCAGTAAAGCAAAGAATTCTAATAAAAAATGACCTGGTAAGTATACTACGGTAGAACCCGAAAATTTGCGATTTGCAGTGTC